GAAATGAATTACTCTTTTTTCACACTAGGTTTTCGCAGTTTCAATCCGGGATTGATATATTTTAAATATATGTTCATATTTTACTCTTAGATCGCGCTTTTAAATTTATATTATTTCGCAATATAAATTTCGTCAGAAAGGGGGGGAATATGCTTGACATTAGTAGAGACAGCTATTATGAGTTGATAATATTTGGTGGCAAAATTAACCATTTTACTGGTAGATTTATTTTCTACTAAATTGGTAGAAAGATATACAGTAGCTTCGGTCTACACGATCGACAAAGAACTTTCAGAAGTCACCATGAATACGCTGGTCATCAGGTGACCACATGCATTCTTTAGAGAGTGAAATCAGCGACACAAATGCGGCATGGTCTAGCTTTTATTGTTACAGCATCATTAATCAACAGCTATCTGCCTATGCGGGCGAAGCAAAAACTGTTCAATTCAAGTGTCATAGTTTCCATGATCTACGGCGCTGAAAATTAGTCTGTTAGTAAAGCGGAAGAGGGCAAACTGATGATCACACAAAGAGCGACAAGTAGAAGAACGTGCGAAGTGTCCCTTAGGGATCAGTGAGTTACTGACTCGACAAGAAACTTAATTGCTTGATAGCAGACGTGATTTCTATCTTCTACGAAGCCAAGAGAGGATAAACAGGCCGTGTGCCTTGCCTGAGGGACAACCAGTGGACGTCAGAAACTGCAGTCATGTTCCGCTGGACTACCAGCGTCAACTCGGCTGTTCAAGAACACGCTGGGATGATGAAATAGTGAAATTACCTGACCAGTAATGGAACTGGAAGAATATCGATTTGCGTTCGCTAGTAACGAAGACAAGTCGGATAACGGATATATAATATCTGAATATAGCACCTTGGGGGTATGGCGGTATAGTGAAAAAGAGGTCGACTTCAAAAGTCAGGTATCCGACTTGATTCCGTTAGAGGAATGAGAAACTGCCTTTGAATTAACTGCAAATTCTCGTCAGCGAGGAATTAATTGCACACTGCTATCTACAGCACAACCAGCCTATAAATGGGTAGTAAGTCGCCGTCTTGCGCAAAATAGGAATAGCATGGTATTCTGACCTGGAGATGCTCACCGATGCGAGC